TCAAGGCCACCTGTCAGGCAAAGCCCCAGTTACACATTTAAACACAGTTAACCCAAACATAAACAGACCCTTTTGTTCTGCTCTTGACCTCTTAGCTGCTCATTCAAGGTTTGCTGCCTTATAATTTACATTATAATAAATAAATATGGATATTTATATATTGTCTGGAAGATACGAGTAGCCTAAAACCCCCTCCCTTTTCTCCAGGTATAAATGCCAAGAACTAGAAGTTGAGAGACACTCAACGGACTACAAAATGACACAAGAACCGGAAGACAAAATGAACATTTCCTAAACTCCCCGAAGTTTTATGGTTGTGTTTTCAGGTGCCCTCAAGATGTTCCCGTAGTTACTAACAGCACAGAAAGGAAGGGAAAGCCAGACCAGACGGTGCATCTCTTCTCTAGGCTGAGGACATCCTTGGAGACTAAAAGACAGCCCATGCTCAGAGCATGTCACAGAATTGCTGCCAGCGGAGTCCCTAGGCCTGGAAACCAGGCCACCGGCACAGGGCTCAGGAACTGGGCCGTGTCTCTGGACCCGCCCTGGGGATTTCAAAACAGTACCTTCCTTGTGATCACACTAGAAACTTAGCCCCAAATAAAAACTAGATTAAGTAGTAAGGCAGTTGGAAACCAATCTTCGCTGGGGGAAAAACAAAACAAAACAAAACAAAACTCCTCTAAGCTCTGCAGTCTCTTGCAGACCTCTGCACCACGGTCCCTTGCTAAAGCGAATCTAATCTTTTGAGGGGAAGGTTTTATTTTCTCAAAAGAAAACTGTTCTTTAATATGCCCGAGTTCAGCAGAATGAAGTGTAGATTCACAAGACACCACATAATTCGCAAAAGAGGGCCTTCATTTTAAAAAGCAGCCTGCCGATTTGCTTCCTCCCGCCCCTTTCAAAGATTACTGTGGAGCAGAGAAATGGGAAAACTGCACCCACAATATAGCTTCAGCCTGGGTCTGGGGAAAGACCTGTTCAGAGAGAGCCAGATGAAAGGTAGAAGCACTGGTGTTCAAGGTTCAGTCCGGATCTTAATCGGGAAATCAAGTGGGCCCTTGAAAGTGCTCTTGAAAGGCTGAGAAGGGAGAAGGCAGAGTCACGTGAGGTTACTGAACCCTGACATCCAGTAAGGCTCTTTAAGGCAGGGAGAAACAAGGGGCCAGAGAGCAACCCTGGGAGTCAGCTCAAAGGGAACTGAGGCAGAGGCTGCCTCTGACTACCCAGGGAGGCAAACCTGAGCCCCAGAACCAGGTGAATACCAGTGACACCCAAAGAGAGGCAGAGCATCAGCCCCCCGCAGGCCCTCTGGACCAGTGTCCTGCAGACCCTCTGGACCAGTGTCCTGCAGACCCTCTGGACCAGTGTCCTGCAGACCCTCT